CCGTGTCTTTCCAAAGAAGTACTGGAAGCTCAGATCCTTCTTATTCTTTTTCCTTCGACGCTGGTGATCACTCACGTTCTGAGTCTGCTGACGCTAACCTCAATGTTGATGGAAAATTTTCTTTCGTGGCTGACGACGGTGTCAGACGCAGTGTCACTTACGAAGCTGGAAGTGACACGGGATTCCTGGCTCGAGGCGATCACCTTCCACGAGCACCACAGTCACACTCCGAGTCTCAAACTACATCATCTGCATTTTCATCATCACAAACCCCTTACCGCAGTCCATCAGCGTCCCTACCTTCTTCCGTCTCAAGCACCCCAACTTTCTCTCGCTCACCATCTGCTCCACGTCTTCCCGGCTTCACAAGCTCACAAACTCAGTACAGCTCCCCGTCCTCACGTCCCTCAGCACGCCCATACACAGGTCAGTTCGAACCTGCCAATACTCGCAGCCAACAGTCACCTGACGGAAGTTATTCATTTGCTTACGAAACGTCCAGTCACTCACGAGCAGAATCAGGTGACAGAGACAACAACGTGGTGGGAAACTTCGACTTTGTTGCTGATGATGGACAGCGACGAGCTATTGAATATGAAGCTGGGTCCCGTACAGGATTTATTGCTAAGGGTGATCACATTCCTGTAGGACCCGCGGTTCCAGGAGCACCCTCCGGTCAACCAACAGGTAGAATCGTCCCTGTTCAAGAGGTCCCCTTCGTCGACCCTCTCGCTGACTCCAACGCTGATGCCTCCTATAACTTCGCCTTTGACTCGGAGCAATATTCACGCTCAGAGAGCGCAGACGCCGACGGCAATATCCGTGGCACTTACACAGTGGTAGACGATGACGGCACTCGACGCACTCACCGATTCCGGGCAGGTGAGGGCATCGGCTTTGAAACTGAGGAAGTGTCAACTTCACGTGGTCCTCCTCCATCTCGCTCTCCATCATCTGCCACCTTCCGCAGCCCAGCGGCCCCCGGCACAGCGGTGTCATCTTCTACTTCCTTCACTGCACAACCTCAAGGCAGTTTCCCGTCTCCCTCCACTAGAACTGCCTCAACAAGGTCCTCATCATCTTCCTTCTCGCCATCGGCAACAGGCACCAGGCCGGACGCCTCTAACTTCCAGCTTCGCCAGTACGATGCGTCAGAGAACCGTGGTAAATATGGTTATGTACTGACATTTGACAATTAACTAAAACAATACAAAAGGCTTACCGCTGCTTCTTCTGATTTAAGAAGAAATTTGTGAAAACATCTCACACTTAAAACAAGTTAATTACAAACTGTTATCTGCCAATGCCTATAAAGTTATATCTGTACATATATATATTTACGAATGAACAAGTTGCATTACAAAAAATACAAAAAAATATGGACTACGAGGTATAATGTCATACTTCATGTAACATTTGTTGTCCCTTTAATCGCGCAGTAAAAATCTATAAAAATAAATGTTAATATGTGCATTATTGTCCCCCAAAAATTATGAATTATCAGAGGCAGTAAACATGCCTGTTTGAGATCCTGTCAGGGTAGACCAGCTTAGGACCATGGCAGTAAGTGTGGATATGAGTCTCCCCTTTTATCTTCTAAATGCCACATTATGTCTAAGAATTAAAATATAATAAAGAGGTAAACACCTTATACATTTTTACTCTATCCTTTACTTATAAAAAAAACTAATTTACTTCGTATTTGAGGAGTCTGAGAACAAAGGCAGTCATATTACTTGAATTTGTACATTTTCAGCAAACAGCTCAAACAATTTCTTTATCTCACTGTAAGGCGAAGGCTGCTTGAATAAACTTTATTTTATCTACTTTATAATCTTTGTAATCTTGCATAAATCCAGCCCACTTATGCAGACTGTGATACCAATAATGATAAAAGATTAGCGTGCATCACACTCCTGTCACTTAACCCCGTCTCGTCCTGCGTTGTTCTCAGTTAACAAGTCATCGTGGTATATGATAACTGTTAACCCTCCAGTGCGATGACCTGTTTCCTAGAATATATGATATTGCGCTAAGGCATTATTGTCATCGTAGTCAAGAGGTTAAGTTATCGTTCTCAAAGCGTTAAGTCATCTGACTGATGCGATTAAAATATCATACTGGAGATGTTACTTATCGCACTGAAGGGATAAAGTCATTGCGGTCACGGCGTTAAGTCATCATACTACAGGAGATAGGTCATCATACTGAAGAGGTTAAGTCTTCGTACTACAGGAGATAGGTCATCATACTGAAGAGGTTAAGTCTTCGTACTACAGGAGATAGGTCATCATGCTGAAGAGGTTAAGTCATCATACTACAGGAGATAGGTCATCATACTGAAGAGGTTAAGTCTTAGTACTACAGGAGATAGGTCATCATACTGAAGAATTAAGTCATCATACTACAGGAGATAGGTCATCATACCGAAGAGGTTAAGTCATCATACTACAGGAGATAGGTCATCATGCACTGAAGAGGTTAGTCTTCGACTACAGAATGAGTCATCATACTGAAGAGAGGTTAAGTCATCATACTACAGGAGATAGGTCTCATCATACTGAAGAGGTTAAGTCTTGGTACTACAGAGATAGGTCATCATACTGAAGAGGTTAAATCTTCGTACTACAGGGAGATAAGGTCATCATACTGAAGGGTTAAGTCATCTACTACAGGGAGATAGGTCATCATACTGAAAGAGGTTAAGTCTTGGTGTTACTACAGGAGATAGGTCATCATACTGAAGAGGTTAAGTCTTCGTACTACAGGAGATAGGTCATCATACTGCAGAGGTTAAGTCATCATACTACAGGAGATAGGTCACCATACTGAAGAGGTTAAGACTTTGTACTACAGGAGATGGGTCATCATACTGAAGAGGTTAAGTCTTCGTACTACAGGAGATAGGTCATTATACTGAAGAGATTAAGTCATCATACTACAGGAGATAGGTCACCATACTGAAGAGGTTAAGTCTTCGTACTACAGGAGATAGGTCATCATACTGAAGAGGTTAAGTCATCATACTACAGGAGATAGGTCATCATACTGAAGAGGTTAAGACTTTGTACTACAGGAGATAGGTCATCATACTGAAGAGGGTAAGTCTTCGTACTACAGGAGATAGGTCATCATACTGAAGAGGTTAGAGTAAATCATACACAGGGAGATAGGTCACCATACTGAAGAGGTTAAGACTTTTGTACTACAGGAGATGAGTCATCATACTGAAGGGTTAAGTCTTCGTGCACTACAGGAGATAGGTCATCATGCTGAAGAGTTTAAATCTTCGTACCACTACAGGGAGATGAGTCATCATACTGAAGAGGTTAAGTCATCATACTACAGGAGATAGGTCATCATACTGAAGAGGTTAAGACTTTGTACTACAGGAGATAGGTCATCATGCTGAAGAGGTTAAGTCTTCGTACTACAGGAGATAGGTCATAATACTGAAGAGGTTAAGTCATCATACTACAGGAGATAGGTCATCATACTGAAGAGGTTAAGACTTTGTACTACAGGAGATAGTTCATCATGCTGAAGAGGTTAAGTCTTCGTACTACAGGAGATAGGTCATCATACTGAAGAGGTTAAGTCATCATACTACAGGAGATAGGTCATCATACTGAAGAGGTTAAGACTTTGTACTACAGGAGATAGGTCATCATGCTGAAGAGGTTAAGTCTTCGTACTACAGGAGATAGGTCATCATGCTGAAGAGGTTAAGTCTTCGTACTACAGGAGATAGGTCATCATACTGAAGAGGTTAAGTCTTAGTACTACAGGAGATGGTCATCATACTGAAGAGGTTAAGTCATCATACTACAGGAGATTAAGTCATCATACCGAAGAAGGTTAAATCACATCATACTACAGGAGATAGGTCATCATACTGAAGAGGTTAAGTCTTCGTACACTACAGGGAATGGAATCATCATACTGAAGGGTTAAAGTCATCATACTACAGGAGATGGGTCATCATACTAGAAGAGGTTAAGTCTTGGTACTACAGGAGATGGGTCATCATACTGAAGAGGTTAAGTCTTCGTACTACAGGAGATAGGTCATTATACTGAAGAGATTAAGTCATCATACTACAGGAGATAGGTCACCATACTGAAGAGGTTAAGTCTTCGTACTACAGGAGATAGGTCATCATACTGAAGAAGTTAAGTCATCATACTACAGGAGATAGGACATCATACTGAAGAGGTTAAGACTTTGTACTACAGGAGATAGGTCATCATACTGAAGAGGGTAAGTCTTCGTACTACAGGAGATAGGTCATCATACTGAAGAGGTTAAGTCATCATACTACAGGAGATAGGTCACCATACTGAAGAGGTTAAGACTTTGTACTACATGAGATAGGTCATCATACTGAAGAGGTTAAGTCTTCGTACTACAGGAGATAGGTCATCATGCTGAAGAGGTTAAATCTTCGTACTACAGGAGATAGGTCATCATACTGAAGAGGTTGAGTCATCATACTACAGGAGATAGGTCATCATACTGAAGAGGGATTGGGAATGCTTCATTACTACAGGAGATAGGTCATCATGCTGAAGAGGTTAAATCTTCGTACTACAGGAGATAGGTCATCATACTGAAGAGGTTGAGTCTCATCATACTACAGGAGATAGGTCATCATACACTGAGGGTTAAGACTTTGTACACACTACAGGAGATAGGTCATCATACTGAAGAGGTTAAGTCATCATACTACAGGAGATAGGTCATCATACTGAAGAGGTTAAGTCTTTGTACTACAGGAGATAGGTCATCATACTGAAGAGGTTAAGTCTTCGTACTACAGGAGATAGGTCATCATGCTGAAGAGGTTAAATCTTCGTACTACAGGAGATAGGTCATCATACTGAAGAGGTTGAGTCATCATACTACAGGAGATAGGTCATCATACTGAAGAGGTTAAGACTTTGTACTACAGGAGATAGGTCATCATGCTGAAGAGGTTAAGTCTTCGTACTACAGGAGATAGGTCATCATACTGAAGAGGTTAAGTCATCATACTACAGGAGATAGGTCATCATACTGAAGAGGTTAAGACTTTGTACTACAGGAGATAGGTCATCATGCTGAAGAGGTTAAGTCTTCGTACTACAGGAGATAGGTCATCATACTGAAGAGGTTAAGTCATCATACTACAGGAGATAGGTCATCATACTGAAGTGGTTAAGACTTTGTACTACAGGAGATAGGTCATCATGCTGAAGAGGTTAAGTCTTCGTACTACAGGAGATAGGTCATCATACTGAAGAGGTTAAGTCATCATACTACAGAAGATAGGTCATCATACTGAAGAGGTTAAGACTTTGTACTACAGGAGATAGGTCATCATGCTGAAGAGGTTAAGTCTTCGTACTACAGGAGATAGGTCATCATACTGAAGAGGTAAAGTCATCATACTACACGAGATAAGTCGTCATACTGAAGAGGTTAAAACTTTGTACTACAGGAGATAGGTCATCATGCTGAAGAGGTTAAGTCTTCGTACTACAGGAGATAGGTCATCATACTGAAGAGGTTAAGACTTCGTACTACAGGAGATTGGTCATCATACTGAAGAGATAGGATATCATACCAAGGATGTTAAGTCATCGTACTACAGGGGTTAAGCCATCCTACAGATGGGGTTAAGTGCTTGTATTCAAGAAGTTAATACATCTTACTGATTGTTAAATTCATAATACCAAAGGGGTTAAGCTCTCATAATGAAGGAGTTAATAATAGTAATGAAAGGGTTATATTATCATATTGAATGGGGCTAAGTTATCGTTTTCAAGGGGTTAAGAGATTTTCTATAATGGAAAAGTCATCGTACTGAAGGGGTTCGTTCACCTGAAACTACAGTAGTTTATTGTATTAAACCCACAAGACAAACTGGGACAACATCAAGGCTTAGAGAGGAGAAGGTGAGAACACTGAAAATGTGAGGCAGGTGATGGTAATAAAGAGGAGAGAGAGACAATAATGATGGTGATGACGAGGAGACAGAAATAATAATGGTGATGGTGATGAAGAGGAGAGAGAGAGACAATAATGATGGTGATGACAAGGAGACATAAACAATAATGATGGTGATGACGAGGAGACAGAAACAATAATGATGGTGATGAAGAGGAGAGAGAGACAATAATGATGGTGATGACGAGGAGACAGAAATAATAATGGTGATGGTGATGAAGAGGAGACATAAACAATAATGATGGTGATGACGAGGAGACAGAAACAATAATAATGGTGATGACGAGGAGACAGAAACAATAATGATAGTGATGACGAGAAGACAGAAACAATAATGATGGTGATGACGAGGAGACATAAACAATAATGATGGTGATGACGAGGAGACATAAACAATAATGATGGTGATGACGAGGAGACAGAAACAATAATGATGGTGATGACGAGGAGACAGAGACAATAATGATGGTGATGACGAGGAGACAGAAACATAATGATGGTGATGACGAGGAGACATAAACAATAATGATGGTGATGACGAGGAGACAGAAACAATAATAATGGTGATGACGAGGAGACAGAAACAATAATGATGGTGATGACGAGGAGACATAAACAATAATGATGGTGATGGCGAGGGGACATAAACAATAATGATGGT